CCCTACCCTACCCTACCCTACCCTACCCTACCCTACCCTACCCTACCCTACCCTACCCTACCCTACCCTACCCTACCCTACCCTACCCTACCCTTTTTGGTAAGCAACATTATGCTTGGAAAAAGAACAAGAAATAATAATGGTAATAAATTGATTAAACTTGTATGCTGCCTGAATCTCAGTGACATTGGGTGGCTCACAATAATCAAACAGTAATCAACAATCACATAACAATCAAATAGCCAAAGAAATTAAAGACACGAGAATATCACGAATTCTGAATCATTCTTATAGCAAATATAAGCAGCGGCAGTTATTAACTAATTTTAATCAATGTATAGAAAGCAAGAATTGCATAAACCACAAGCTAAAGAGGCAGTAAGACTGGTTTGATAAATGAGTCACGATCAATTGTTCTTCCCGACTTTTTAATATAATTTATAAAAAGAAGCCAAAGAGGTTTTGAGTCTCAAATTGGATTGGGATATATCACTTCTAAAAGGCCCCTTTAACTACTTTATTTATAAGAGAGAGGGGAAATGCAACCCATTGCTTTAAGGATAAATGGAGATGTCAACATATTTACTGATTTGTAGACTAAACATGAGAATAAATCAGTACTCTCTGCCATGCTGTACAGTATATAGCTGCATCCATCGGCCTTCTTTGCTAAAAGTGAATGTGCCTGATGTATTGCTTTAGAATGCAATGATCGGTTTCTCATTCCTTGAACTGGTTCAACCTGCCCAACTGCAAAGGCCAAAGAAACCTGATGCAGCAAAAATGTCTTCTTTTTTTTTTCCAATCTATCCAAAAGATTGGAAAATACTGTTTTGTTTATTTGAATCTTTTAAGGAGAATTATTATTATTATATTGAATTAATTAAGCTAGGGCATGAACTAGTTCATGAATATTATATCATGAATGGTTCATTCAACTTCAGAATTTATTACAAAAATAATTAAATCTGATACTTACACAGTGCAGTATTTCTTATTAAATCCCAGCACAGTTCTGTTCTATGAGCACATACTATAATGGGACTTAGCAATGCTCGCCTGCTGTTTCCATGTGATTGTTTCAGTGGTTGTCTACTCTTCTTTGCTGGAGGTTGTAGCCATATCCTTTCACCTGTTACACATCTAGAAATATGGTTGTGTCTGTAGAGAGCATTTTGTTTAGAGCTTTGCTTTTAGACAATGCATTTTGAAACATGCCAGGGGATGAACCCAAAATGTATGCTGACATATAATTTCCAAATTCTTCAAGTTATGTTCAAGGAGATTTAGAACTTGTACTAGTGAGAAATGAGGAAGCTGCCTTTATACCAAGTCTAGTGAGCACCATCTGGCTCAGTTTTGTTTACAGTGACTGTAGCTTTCTGGGGATCTGGACAAGCGTGTATTTTGGCCCTCCCACCTAGAGGTGCTGCAAGTGGAACATCTGCGTACAAAAAAATTTGCTCTGCCACAGGACAGCGACCTTTTCCGATTAGTCAGTGGCTTGAGTGTTCTGGACTTGAAAATTCTTTTACTGGTTATTGTATTGTGGTCTGGCAATATTGATTTGTTTTCTTGTAGTGATAATGTTTGCACTTTGCATACATGATACTCAGTTTAAAATGCATGAAATGCAGTGGGTTTTATGTGTGAGAGTTGCTTTTGCATTGTTCTTTGGGTGGGCAGAAGCATGTGTGAATATTGTTTACCTGGTTGCAACTTTTGTACTGGGGAAAATTTCCCTTTGCCCTGTGAAGCTTCTGATGTGCTTTCCACAGCAAGTCTTATAATCCGTGATTTAAATATTAAATGGAGAGAATCTATTCAGCAACTGCAAATTGATTTACTTGATCTTCAGGCATAATCTGTAAGACAGTGCAATCATAGACATATATGATTGTACTACATATACTTGTGCTTCCAGATCTAGTAATACCTCATTTGGACCCACGTTTAGCAGATGCAGCAAACTCAATTTCCATTCAGATATCCCCCCAAATAACAGACCAAGTCTCTTTTATTAAAAGTAGTGCTAATAAATTCACTTACAGTACATTTATATTTTTATATCATTTGCATACCGACATAAATATGTAAATGACATTGTTGTTGTTGTTGTTTAGTCGTTAAGTCGTGTCCGACTCTTCGTGACCCCATGAACCATATTGCGCCAGGCCTTCCTGTCCTTCACTGCCTCCCTGAGTTTGCTCAGTTTCATGCTCATTGCTTCAGTGATGCTATCTAACCATCTCATCCTCTGCCGTCCTCTTCTCCTAGCCATACATTACTACTGGAAAAACCATAGCTTTGACTATGCGGATCTTTGTCGGCAAGGTGACGTCTCTGCTTTTTAATATCCCATCAAGGCTTGCCAGGGCTTTCCTCCCAAGGAGCAAGCGTCTTTTAATTTCATGGCTGCAGTCTCCATCTGCGGTGA